GTAACTTTGATATTTCTTGATGAATTGCTTTGAAACTCAAAATATAAAGATACATTAGTAGTCTAGACAAGATAACATGGTCAAATTAGCATGAACTCACGCGCATGCACGTGCGCTCTTCTCTGATTGGCTGATACAAAAATCTCAATAATTTCCTTGTTTTTTGACAAAATACTTTGAAATTTAGAATATAAGTATATATTATAAGGTGCTACAACATGTTATATAGGAAATTTCTTGAAAACACGCGCATGCAGGTGTGCTGCAATCTGATTGGTTGAAACTTTAAATGTCTATAACTCCCTTGGTTTTCAACAAAACAGGATGAAATTTATGACATGGATAGGCACATGGAGCTCCTACATTATAATACTATCAAAATTGAATGCAAGGACCTGCATGTGCATATGCTGAATTCTGATTGGCTAATACTTAAAGGGTTACATCTCTCTTATTTTTCAATGAAATTCTTTAATATTTAACACAACTGTATGTATTGTGAGACACTATAAGAAAATTAAAGTGAAAAATGTAGAAAACATGTGCAAGCACATGCGCTGAAATTTGATTGGCTAATACCCATATGGCTATATCGGAGTAGTTTTCCAATGAAATACCCTTAAAAATAAAGTGTCCATCTATATTACAAAAGTATTCTCTAATTTATTTAAGCTTGTAGAAAATGGGCCATCATAAGGGATTTGGGGAGCCGTTTGGGGAACATCTGTAACGGTTCCCGTTACAATTAGCACTAGTTTCATTTGGTTTTAACTCTACTGCAGAAGAGCTTATGCGAAAGGTGCTCGTTGTCCATCTGTCTGTGTAGCTGTTCGTTTGTCTGTTAAGAGGAAGAAGGACAAACAGCTACACAGACAGATGGACAACACTACTCCTTCCACGGTTTGTTTACACGTAGACTGAACCAAGATACCCAGCTGCTCTGCAACACTTTTTGATTTCAACACCGGTGTTGCCATGGTTACTAAAAATAACTTTTTTTTAAAAATATATCTCCTACATTTTTGCTCTTATTTTAATAAAGCTTATTCCCACAAGGTTCTTCTGAATCAATAACGTTCATAATTCCATATATCGGATTTTTTTTTTTTTTTTTTTTTTTTTTTTTGATTTCGAGGGGTTTTACTAGGTTGCTAAAAGTAGAAGTTTCTTTATATTTCTTTCAAATTGCTACTCATAAATATTTGCTTTTGACCAGCAGTGTTGCCATGACAACAAAAATAGAAACTTCTGTAAAATTCTATCAAAACGTTATTCCTCCTACGTTTTTTTTTTTTCCTGATTTCAATAAAATTTATACAGAGGTATATTTTACTGTGCTACACAATGCTGTAAATCAGTTGTTCATTTTAATAAAAAAAAATCTTGCAATGGTTACTAAAATTAGAATAATACATGGAATTCCTACCAAACATTACTTCCCCTTTAGTATAGCGTTAACTTCAATAAAGATACACACTTAGAAATAACCAGATACATAAATCTTTATCAGTTTTTTTTCTTCCACTATTAAAAATTCAATCCAGTAGGACTATATCTCCGATTCTCATTACTGACTTCTGGATATTCAAGCATTCGGATTAAAGAGTCTTATCTGTGTATTTAATTTCTACTGTACGTAGTTGGCCTACACAAATATCAAAAACAGGATATTTGAACCTCCTTGAAATGGTCTTTAGCTTTTTGTACATTGAAATTGCTGTAGCGATTAGAAAAAAGTAATATAACTTTGGCTCCCCGTTTAATCATTTGCTAAAAACGAAAATGGAACGTGATTAGCTTTGAAGTTCCATCTCTGAGACAAAACAGTGTTCGGGAAAGCCTAGCTTCCTGTGAAATTTGGTCTTTGTAATAGTTGATTAGATAACGTCTGGAGAAAAACACACCGCGCTACTGCATCAGCATCTTATGTCAGGTTCTGTAGTCCTAAATTATGAATTGATAGGGCATCTTGTATTCCAAAGGCCTCGTTAAATGAATATGAAAGGGGCTGTTTTCTTCTGTAGTGTTTACACTTATTGCCGCATTAAAGATTTCCATTAGTGGATTAGATTCGGAACGAATTAATGCAAGTCTGAATATTGGTTAATGTAAAACTTTAATCAAAGCATCTGCACTGTATAACTGAATAAAAACAAATATACTTAATGCAGATTTTGAAAGAGATTTTGCTTGAAAAACCAGAGGACTATGAAATAAATTATAATTAGTCCACAACTTGACAAATACCTAAACTAATGAATAACATCGGTAATTACGATACCTAAATCATGTGACGTGTTAAGAAAATGAGAATTGAAGGTATTCTATTGTTCAGACAATAAAAGTTGGGAAATTTAACGAAGACATCTTCAGAATATTTCTTTATGGTGTCGAAACGAACATCCATTTAGCTATAACATTTAACGTAGCTAAATGGCTTTCCGTCCTCTTTGTAAATGATGTCATTGACGTGTTTTAAATAGATTTTATTCTGTCTTGGACCATAAGAAAAGAAATTAAAAGAACTCACTTTTTTTATTGTAAACAAATTACCCTAACGCATTTTTGAATTATCTCAAGTTTCTGATTGTGACTCACGATCTTTTGGGAAAATAATAATTAGAGGTAATATTCTGTTTTTGTCTGTAATAATTCATTTGCAAACTTGACCGATTTTAAAGGCATTAATGAGTCCCGTGAGTAAATATTTCCAGGAAGCACAACTGAAAGTGATTTGTGAAGCAAATATAACATATTTCTCTTTTAAGAAAGCAGAATCCAGACTTTTTATTAGGTTTTCTGTGATCGATTTCAGATATTATAGCAATATTTTGATGATATGTGACATCTCGAAAAGAATTATGCTGGAAAGGTAATTAAAGTAGGACCGAAGTTTTACGCATTCGGTTTTAATTTTATACACCGACAATAAAACTTCAGTTATCACTTTGCTACCGAAATATTCAAAGAAACATTGGGGAAAAAAACAATTAAAAGAATAGATAATAATTAACAATAAAAGAATTCCTCGGAAAAAAAAGCGACGCACCTCAATTGGTCTTAAAGGCTTGAGAAAGCAAGGAAAGTCCGTGCATCAAAATGTAAAAATGGCAAATGTCTCCGTAATTTCCTGTAAACTGTAATGATAACACTGCATTACAGAACCAGAACATCCGTATTTTTTATACAAATTATCTTGTATTCTGTTTTTCTTTACACTAAAACTGTACAAATAATATTCATAAGTGATAACCAAAAATGAAGGGTTTTGGTATAGGGGCTTGTCTTCCGGATTGTTAAATGTAAAATAAATTAATAAAATTTTGCATCTACTGTAAATACACTTAAAAGGTTGTTACAGTTACGATTCTGACACTTTCAGACAAGAAATACCATGTTTAAAAAAAACGGACTACACACCTATATACATAAAGTCAGCATGTAGGTGAGTTATGTTTTTTAGCGTGGTGGTATGGGATACCAAACGAAACTTCTCCTACATATTTATGTACCCAAATTAGAAGTATTTGAAATACCCCCACCTTTCAGTATATTAAAGTGTAATTTTAATAATTTTTTTTATTATTTTAATGAGAAATACAAAAATGATTTTTTTTTCTTGCATAATTCTTTTTTCATAAGCTTAATATTATAGGCAGGCGTTTGCTAATATAAAGTGTATATAAAAACAAAAATGACAAGAAATATGTCTTAGTATTTTTTTAATTTTCAACAAAAAATAAGCGTAAAAAACTGGGAAAACTTTATTTCTTGAAAACAGACGGATAGCATTTCATGAAAGTCTTCAATAAGAATGTATCTTAATATGTTAGCAAAGTGAAATAAACAAATTGAAAATATATGTATAAATGGAAAATATAAAATGCATTTAAAATTTTTTGAATTAAAAGATCCGAGCGGAAGAGTTATCCTTCTTTATTTTCCAAGGGTTGAAAAAACCTGGGTTTTATTTTAGAAATGATGAGCATTTTTTCCCAACCATAAAAAAATCGCACTTTGTAGTTTTCAACTTTGAGCGGTTTTGAAAACAATGCATGGACAATCGCTTTCCAGGACGTGTCTTGTTCAGAGCAATTGCATTCATCTGAACGTTTTGGGACTATATACAACAGCTAGCTGATTTGTGACCAAACAGTTACTTCTTGAATTAAATAACAAAAAAGTCCAGCTGTGGTTAACGTGATAATTGATTGGTGATAATTCAGCACAATGTGAAGTAATCGCACTTATCCATGCCTCACCGCACACAAGGTGCTGTACAGTTACTCAAACAATTGAAATACAGCTTTTGCTTAAAAGTGTTCAAAAGCAGCAATGTTGAAACTACCTTTTACAGGGGTTTGCTTTTTTAAATGTCCGTTGTACAATTATAAGTAAATTTATATACTTGCGATTTTTTTGTCTGTTTTTACTTAAAATGCCGACTTGTGAGAACTTGCATTGAAATAGGCTTCAGAGTGTTCTTTTCAACGGTGTAACTACAAATTTTGACCCGATAATAAGCACTCATGCAAATCAAAACAATACTTCAAACGGAAATACGTCATAACGTGGAGGTATCCCATACTACCTTAAAGAAGATTCAATATTTTATTAATTTATTTTACATTTAACAATCGGAAGACAAGCCCCCTATGGGTTTTGATGTATAACTTAATAATATATGAGATCATATTTCTTTGTAATAAAATTTTGCTGTTTAAATACTCTAAGATATATTGTATGTAAATAAGCATGCAAAGATATGTCTTATATAGACTAATACGGGCTTTTTTTTGTTAGTTTATTAGTTGTTTTAGATTTTCAAATTAAAAATAAAAATGATGGACAGAAATTACTTCAGTCACTGTTAAGACGTTTAGGAGCGATTAATTGCAAAGGAATAGAAGAAGGATGACACAGGCCTGGTAGTTTATTCAATGAATTGTTCAGATATCGAAAGGTCCATTTGATTTTCAGCCTCTTTTTTGACATTTCAGAATGGACAGATACCACACCTTTTGCTGTAATGGTTTTTGTCCATGGCGAATCCTACGAAATAGGGACCGGAAATGCCTATGATGGAAGCGTGTTGGCGAGTTACGGTGATGTGATAGTCATAACCATTAACTATAGACTTGGCGTCCTTGGTGAGTACTACTACGTCTTTTTTAATCACTCCCGCATTAAAACAGAAATTCTGATTCTCATCCTACAGTTGTTAATACATGTAGCGAGTTATCATTAAGCAGAATTTGATTCAGTATCGAACTATTTCCATATTTTATTCCTAAGCTGATAACGCAATTTTATTTTATTTCAATGTATTGTATTCTTTTTCACTTTGAGAGATAAAAATTGCTGCATTGCAATAATCTGACTGGACAAATTAGATGCTGTAGGCATATATCAAAGTATAATTGTCATAGTAGCGTCTCATTTGGACTTCTTTTAAAATACATCACCATATTTTCCTTATAATTAAACGCATCTCTATTCTTAGAACAATTCTATTTGAATTAATGAAGTTTTATGTTATTCTTTATTCCCCTACCATGAATAACAACTTAGTTTGTCTTTTAAATATTTTTTAAAATCCCTTTATTCACTGACAAGGAAAAGACAAAATACGTTTTAAATAGAAGTCGACATGCGCAAGTGCGCTTGTTTTATCGTGTTTAAAAGATTTCGCTAATTAAAGTGATATATGTGCTTTCGATAATATTTCTCACGAAATATTGTTAAAATAATATTCCCATATCACAGGAAACCCTTCTAAATCTGTAGATCTGTGTGAATTTGAATTCAAATTTGGCAAAACCACTGTTTTGTTTCGTGTGGAAATGTGTTGTTTTCATTAAAGGGGTATCATATAATCGAACTGCTTATTTAATTATTTTGTATTACTTATGTGTAGATATATTTTAAAACACCATGGACTCTATTTTATGGTAACATCCACAGATTGTTATTTCTATTTTATGGCAACATCTATTGTTAGGAAGACATTGCTGTAAGTTGAATATACCTGTAAGTCCACAAAGGGTAAAGTTCATTAACCTGTTCTGTTTTTTTTAAGAAGCAAGCCCGTCAATTCTGGTAAAAATTATTTATACGAGTGCGCTCAATAATTGCCATTACACCTATAGAAATCAATTTTCATCCCATGTGTGTCTCGTTTTGTTGGCATATTGATAATTCAGTATTTTCAAAATAACGCAGATTTTAATTTCAAAAAGTAAAATTTTTTAGTTGTATCTCAGCATGCTCTTATCTGTTTCTTATTTCCTGTTAAGGTTTCCTTAACACTGGCCACAGCTCGGCTCAGGGTAACCAGGCTCTGATGGACATTCTGGCCGTGTTACAGTGGGTTCAAGACAATATTGCTGCTTTCAACGGAGATCCCAAAAAGGTCACGCTATTTGGCCATGGGCACGGAGCCGCCCTAGTCAACATTTTAATGCTCTCCTCATTAACAGAAAAAGGTACTCTTGTTCATTCCTTTCCCACATGCACAGTCACATTGTAAACTATGTATTGGCTACCACCCATTAAATAAAAACAAATATAACACAGCGATTATAAACAGAAAAAACATGTATGTACAACTTAAAGGACTTTACTTAGAAATAAATTAAAAGCTTGTATAATACCATAGATGTTCTTTCCTTCTTTTGTAGAAAAATATTTTCAAAGAGCTGTTATACAGAGTGGGTCAGCATTGAGTCCGTGGGCCGTGTCTTATGACTCGCACTCCTGCGCTCATTGGCTAGCCCGAAACGTCAACTGTTCCAGTTTCACCAATGACGTCGAAGGTCTAACAAAGTGCCTCAAAAGTCGTAGTGCTCAAGACTTGGTCAACAGCTCGCCAGCAGCCCCGAAGTATTACTCGTGTATGGCCCCTTCACCCAATCCTTATCGTGAGATTTTCAAGGATTCAGTGGAAAACTTGATGAAGCAATCACATAACACTTTTACTACAATTCCTGTAATTTTTGGGGTAACGAGCAGTGAGGCTTATATGTATCTGAAACAAAAAGAACTCACAAATGGAATAAGTGAAGAAAGGAAGTCACAGATACTTCGAACATTTGTTCTGAATAACTTCCGGTTTAACCGTCAAAAAATATACGAAGTTTTGTATCATCAGTATACCTCGTGGGATACCGTACAAGACGACTTCACGCGAAGAGATAACGTTTTACAGCTACTGAGCGACGGTTTATACGTTGCTCCATTGATTAAAATGACGCAACAACATTCTTTGAACACAGATACTTACTTCTATGCCTTTACACATGCCACAGTGTCGGACACAGCTCAGTATCATAACTGGACAAGCGCGGTCCACGGAGATGAGCTAGCCTACATCTTCGGAGCTCCTCTCGTAGAGGGTGTGACACCGTTCTCGGACAAATTCACCCCTATGGAGAAGGAAATTAGCAAGACAATGATGTCATATTGGACAAACTTTGCCAAGACAGGGTATTTTATTATAATTCTTTTCGATTGACCTTTAGATTTTCAAGTAGATTTGTTGCTTCTCATGCCGATGAGATACTGTATTTTTATTTCAGGGACCCAAACAAACACGATGGCGAGTTGACGTTTGAACAGAAAATTCGCAGTAGCCCAGGTTGGCCAAAGTATGACAGGAATCAGCAGATGTTTCTTCACTTTGGTAAACATTTGATTTTTAAATATTCGTTTATTTATTAATAAAATAGTTGGTGATTCTAAAATACTCACCAAATGTAAATACAACTGTATATTTTAATCTGAAAATTAATAATGCAGGTAACATAGACACAATGAATTCTGTGGCTCATATCTAACCACCAGGATTCTTTTTAGATGTACATGTACAAGCTTCCTAATCATTAGGCATGTTGCCACGAAATGTATGCAGCGTTAAAAACTAATGACTTAATGAAAACAAGTAAATGTAATCAATTATGCAAATAAAAATAATTAGCAGTCACTGTAAGAAACATGCATTGTGTTTCCAGACAACTTTATGGTTTTTTCGCATATTTCAGGTTCAAATACCTCAGTATCGAGTCACTACAGAGGAAAACAATTATCACTTTGGTTAGATCTAATTCCTAAACTAAACAAACCAATGAAACCAGTGTCTGACCCGAGAGAACACGAACTGACAGACCAAAACAACATGGCGACCTTTGATGAACCCCACAGACTGATTACAAATTTCAAAAAAATGTTCCCATCCCACCCACCAATTCCTCCATCACCGCCTCCATTTAACAGAAGCGGGGGATATAATCCTCTTGGTGATGCTGGTAGTTCCAAGGAGAAGAAGAAACGTGAAAACTCGCTGGAACAAGCGAAGCCACCCTCAGAAAGACAGGCTGGTCAGGAGTCCAAGCTTAGTAACTCTGTTCCTTTGAGTATCACCGTAGCTATTGGATGTTCGCTGTTATTTATCAATATATTACTATTTTCTGCTGTTTATTATCAAAGGCGAAGGATACAGAGATTAAACCGAGAGGCAATAGAGCAGGAACATATTGATCCCAATGATTTTCCAGATGGAGGACATAAGTCACAGAAAGAGGAAACAGTAACGAAAGAACCGCCCGACCGTGAAGCAGATGTTGACCTTCATAGTAAACCTAATATTCAAAGTAATCCTTTATATTCTGTGATAAGTAAGACTCCCAGTGACGTTGCGCAAGAATCATCGCACGAATCATTGTCAACTCTATCGTGCGCATCATCAAGTGTTAACCAAAAGAACGTTATAAATCATAAATCGAGTGTTCCGCCCACTCTACCTAAAGACGCCCCCGTGATACAAAAAGACGCTCCTTTAGGCAATATATCAAATTCCAAATATGCAGCGAATAATACCAAATCAAAAGATAAAATGAACAATATTCGAAATTCAACAGCAACAAATGATACGATAACGCTAGTCTGACAATGATTGACTGTTATAGTCTTTTAACGTGATTATAAATTGGTCGAGTGTAATTACGTTTTCAGTATATCATATTATCATGATCATATTTTCCATCTTTGTTATACGTCTGAGAGAAGTAGAATTGAGGAAAACCAAAATTATGATTGCATTTTTAACGTGTACATAAGTTATAAATCATTGCTTCTTGTTGTTAAGTCATCGTTATTTTTTGTATGCATATGAAAAATAAAGGAAAAAGTACCATGGTTTGTTTAACCTCTCTAGAACCACTGTCATTCAAACTTACAATATAGTATCTCTCGCAAAAATTAGTAAATCTGCTTTTATTCAGTTGGTTAAACTATCCTGCTTTTGGAAATGACTCAGAAAAAAATAAGGTGGGGTAAATTAAATACAAAATTCTACAAAATTATTACCAATCGATGAAAGAAAGTAGTGAAATGCTCAATTTGGTGATATACTAGCCGCTCCTTTTCACTTAGAACACCCAGAGCAAGAAAAAAGCATCAAAAGCCTTCCAAAGTCACAGTGAAAATTTGCAAGATTTTGTTATGAAAAATAACAGATATTTTATTTGTTGAATTGATCAGGACGTGGCTTTACAGATGAAAATTCACTTATGCTAGTATTTTTTGAACAACAAACAAGACTACAAATGGGTATATATCCGAGGAATCCAAAAAGTAATGTCACAACTGCTATAACATCTTTAACAATGGAAAGTTTTCAACAAGACTTTATAAGCTAATACCTCTGTATATTTTGACTTATGCTCTAACATTTCATTAAGATATATTCAATACTTTATGAAATATTAGAATAAACACAACGCTGGCTCTTTTCTATCGCCGCACGGCAAGAATGTACCGATGTCATGACGTTGCTCCTCGACACTCATTTTGAATTTGGTGATACATAGGGTTTAGAAAAAAGGAATGGATTTAACATTTGGACAAAAAAGTAATTTTAATACTTCAACCAAAAAATAGATGGTTTATAGCAAATAGCTGTAAAGACTATTAAAAAGAAGCAGTAAGAGCGGCGACATTCTTGCCGTGCGGCGATAGACAAAACCTAAATTTTAAGACTATGTCTCTTTGTCCAATGAAATTATGTATAATCACATATACATGTATGGTGGCATATTTCTGTCCCCCACATGCAAGATAAATTATGCCAACATGCAATAAAAGTAAGTCATCATGCAAGATAAATTTTTATGTCTACATGCAAGATAATTGTGTTGACATGCAAGTTACAAATCTTTTAAGGGAATCTAATTTAACTTACTAGCGCCAGTATCTGACATCACGATGCAACATATTTATGTAAACATATGATCTATTTATGCTGACATACATGTGTACGGTATACGGGGGTTGTTCGAAAAGTTCGCGTACTTCTGTCAAAACTATTTTATATAATTAACGTCATAATATATTTAAATTTGGTAGACATGTTTTAGCAATCAATTCGAATGATTTTAGTCAAAAATTTCAAATATATCATGATGCATTTTAAACATATTAAAAATTTAAAACTGCGAAATTAGGGTCACGGAGCAGGTTAAAATTTTAGTAATTTACAAACAATATAATACTTAACAAGTAAAATTGATAAAGCATCAAATCAGCCACAAACAAAATTTACGATGCATTTTAAAAAGTATTTCGCAAGAAAGCATTCAAGGAAAGCGCACGATATTCAAAGCTGAAAGAGAACATTTTCATTTCAGAATGTCTTCAAAGCAACCAAAAAAAAACAAACAAAAAACCAAGATGTGTTTGTGAAACACTGATGCCCCCGTATGGCAGCTTATGGCGAAGGTTAAAGTTTCTCAAATGCAAGTCAAAATCCAGGCAAAAAGATAAACATATGTAATCAGAGATTGCAGAGCTCACCTCAACGAATGTTGTCTTTAAGTAAGACAAAGTCCCACACTAAACTAATAACCTTGGAGTGTGCATCCCTAGATGCAACATTTATGCAATTTTGGTCTGATAGGGCTTGCAGTTACTTGGGAATAGATATCTGAAAACTTAAAACTAGTCACTCATCCAGAAAATGTAAGTCAAATCCAGCATCCGAAGCAAGTTTGAAATTGTTCGTCCCTTGATGCATCATCCATGCAAGTTTTGTTCAGATAGGCCTTATAATTACTTGGAAATGAGATCTGCTCCAAAAACTTTAACCTGGTTACTCATCCGGAAAATGTAGGTCAGATCCAGCATCTGAAGCAATTCCAGTAGTGTGCATCCTTAGATGTATCATCCATGCAAGTTTGGTCAATATAGGGTTTATAGTTACTTGGAAATGACATCTGCTCCAAAAACTTTATCCTGGTCACTCATCCGGAAAATGGAGGTCAGATCCAGCATCTGGAGCAAGTCCAGTAGTGTGCATCCTTAGAAGTATCATCCATGCAAGTTTAGTCAATATAGGGCTTATAGTTACTTGGAAATGAGATCTGCTCCAAAAACTTTAACCTGGTTACTCATCCGCAAAATGTAGGTCAGATCCAGCATCTGAAGCAAGTCCAGTAGTGTGAATCCTTAGATGTATTTTCAATGCAAGTTTGGTCAATATAGGGTTTATAGATACTTGAAAATGACATCTGCTCCAAAACCTTTAACCTGGTCACTCATCCGGAAAATATAGGTCAGATTCACCATCCGAAGCAAGTCCAGTAGTATGCATCCTTAGATGTATCATCCATGCAAGTTTGGTCAATATAGGGCTTATATTTACTTGGAAATGATTGATTGATTGTTGTTTAACGTCCCTCTCGAGAATTTTTCACTCATATGGAGACGCCACCACTTGCCGGTGGAGGGCTACAAATTCTGACCTATACTCGGCACTTACGGCCATTGAGCCGTGAGGGATCTTTTTCGTGCCAGCACCTACTGCGACACGGGACCTCGGTCTCATCCGAAGGACCGGTTTCCACGTCCCACAGTGGGATTCGAACCCTCGACGTAAGGATCAACTCCTTACTCCGCGACTCTAGAGCAGACGCTCTGACCACTGCGCCACGCGGGCGACTACTTGGAAATGAGCTCTACTCCAAAAACTTTAACCAGGTCACTCATCCGGAAAATATAGGTCAGATCCAGCATCCGAAGCAACTCTAGTAGTGTGCATCCTTAGATGTATCATCCATGCAAGTTTGGTCATTATCGGGCCTATAGCTGCTTGGAAATGAGATCTACTGCAAAAACTTTAACCTAGTCACTCATCCGGAAAATGTAGGTCAGATCCAGCATCCGAAGCAAGTTCAGTAGAGTGCATCCTTAGACGTATAATCCATGCAAGTTTAGTCAATATCGGGCTTATAGTTAATTGGAAATAAGACCTGCTCCAAAACTTTAACCTGCTCCCAAAACATTAACCTGGTCATTCTTTAGCTGAAATTGCAGTATCTGAAACCTTGGTTGGTACAATGAAACTCACTAGAAGCATCCTCTATGCATCTCTGACTAATATAGGCCAGAGAAGTACTTGAAAAGAAAACTGCTCCAAAAACCTTAACCTGGGACACCGACGCCGAGGGTATTACATAAGCTCCCCCAACTTCGTTGAGGTGAGCTACAAAAATGTTGGTACCCAAAGAAAGGTCTTGTCTCGAGGAATATACCTGTGAAATTTGAAAGACCCAGCTGCAACTGTTCAAAAGTTAGGGCGAAGGATAAAGTTTTTTAAAAGTAAGTAAAACGTCAAGGTCAAAGTGGTTGGTATCCAAAGGAAGGTCTTGTCACAAGGATTACATATGTGAAGTATGAAAGCCCTAGCACCAACCATTCAAAAGTTATGGCCAAGGTTAAAGTTTTTCAAAAGTAGGTCAAACTCCTAGGTCAAGGTCAAAGTGGTTGGTATCCAAAGGAAGGTTATGTCACAAGGATTACATATGTGAAGTAACAAAGCCTTAGCATCAACCATTCAAAAGTTATGGCCAAGGTTAAAGTTTTTCAAAAGTAGGTCAAACTCCTAGGTCAAAGTCAAAGTGGTTGGTATCCAAAAAAGGTCTTGTCACAAGGATTACATATGTGAAGTATGAAAGCCCTAGCTCCAACCATTCAAAAGTTATGGCCAAGGTTAAAGTTTTTCAAAAGTAGGTCAAAATCCAAGGTCAAGGTCAAAGGGTCATAGTGGTTGGTGTCCAAAGGAAGATCTTGTCACAAGGATTACATATGTGAAGTATGAAAGCCCTAGCTCCAACCATTCAAAAGTTATGGCCAAGGTTTAAGTTTTTCAGAAGTAGGTCAAACTCCAAGGATAAGGTCAAAAGGTCACAGTGGTTGGTGTCCAAAGGAAGGTTATCTCACAAGGATTACATATGTGAAGTATGAAAGCCCTAGCTCCAACCATTCAAAAGTTATGGCCAAGGTTAAAGTTTTTCAAAAGTAGGTCAAACTCCAAGGTCAAAAGGTCAAAGTTGTTGGTATCCAAAGGAAGGTCTTGTCAAAAAAAAATATATGTGAAGTTTGAAACTCCAAGCACCAACTCTTCAGAAGTTATGGCCAAGGTTAAATTCTCATAACATTTTGCAAAAGTGGGTCAAACTCCAAGGTCAAGGTCAAAAGGTCAAATATGATGATACCCAAAGAAAGGCCTTGTCACAAGGAATACACATGTGAAATATGAAAGTCATAGCTCCAACCAATCAAAAGTTATGGGCAAGGTTAAAGTTGACAACAGACAGACAGACAAACAGACAGGACAAAAACATTATACCCCCTGGATCTTTCGATCCGGGGACATAAAAACACACACACACAACAAATAGGTCGGCCGCTCCTGCGGCCGATAATATATCTCTCTTTAAAATGGCGAAAAAAAGGAAAAAATCTAAACGTTCAAATTAAGAAATGTTACATCGTTTCATATGCCAAATTATGACTTGAAAAAAAAAAATCAATTTCAGAATATTGGTAGTTCTTAATGAAAAAGGCAAAGAAAAATGTATAACGTATTGCAGCAACTACCATTATAGTTTTGTGTTGCCTCCAGAATAAACTCACAAAATGGTGGAGGAAGCTACAAATATGTCAAAATTGAACCGTACATTTTTGTGTAAATTGCATATGCGGTTTTTGAGTAGATGAGACTCTGTATCAGACGACGGATGGTCTGTAAATAAACGGATTACCAGTAAAATTCTGATCAAAACTTTTATGAAGACTTAGTAGTTAGTAACATCATGGAAAGAGATGGGCGCTTCACTATTGCGGATTTGTGAAAGC